GACGGTAATTATAAAGACCACAGATGGATAAATCTATAACAAAGGGAAGAAACCAGCTTAAAAAGACTGAGCATACCCAAAATTAGAATGCCTCTCCCTCTACAGGGGATCACAGTTCCTCATCAGCAATGGAACAAGGCCTGATGGAGAAAGACTGTGTTAACAGAAGCAGGCTTTAAAAGGTGGATGATAAGAAACTTCTGGGAATTAAAAGAACTTGTTCTAACCCAATGCAAAGAAACTAAGAACTTTGAAAAAAGGTTTGATGAAATGTTAACAAGAATACACAATTTAGAGAGGAATATAAGTGAATTAATGGAGCTGAAAAACACAACACGAGAACTTCGCGAAGTATGCACAAGTTTTAACAGCAGAATTGATCAAGCAGAAGAAAAGATATCAGAGGTTGAAGACCAACTTAATGAAATAAAACGAGAAGACAAGATTAGAGAAAAAAGGATAAAAAGGAAGGAGCAAAGTCTCCAAGAAATATGGGACTATGTGAAAAGACCTAATCTACGTTTGATAGGTGTACCTGAATGTGACAAAGAGAATCAATCCAAGCTGGAAAATACGCCTCAGGATATTATTCAGGAAAGCTTTCCCAACCTAGCAAGGCAGGACAATATTCAAGTCCACGTAATACAGAGAACACCACAAAGATATTCCTCAAGAAGACCAACCTCAAGGCACATAATCGCCAGATTCACCAGCGTTGAAATGAAAGAGAAAATACTGAGGGCAGCCAGAGAGAAAGGTCAGGTACCCATAAAGGGAAGCCTATCAGACTCACAGCAGATCTCTTAGCAGAAACCCTACAAGCCAGAAGAGAGTGGGGGCCAATATTCAACATCCTTAAAGAACTTTCAACCCAGGATTTTACATCCAGCCAAACTAAGCTTCATAAGCTAAGGAAAAATAAAATCTTTTGTGAACAAGCAAGCACTGAGAGATTTCATCACCACCAGGCCTGCTTTACAAGAGCTTCTGAAAGAACCACTACAAATAGAAAGGAACAACCAGTATCAGCCTTTCTAAAAAATACCAAAAAAAATAAAGAACATCGGCCGGGCGCGGTGGCTCAAGCCTGTAATCCCAGCACTTTGGGAGGCCAAGGTGGGTGGATCACGAGGTCAAGAGATCGAGACCATCCTGGTCAACATGGCGAAACCCCGTCTCTACTAAAAATACAAAAAATTAGCTGGGCATGGTGGTGCGTGCCTGTAATCCCAGCTACTCAGGAGACTAAGGCAGGAGAATTGCCTGAACCCAGGAGGCGGAGGTTGCGGTGAGCCGAGATCGCGCCATTGCACTCCAGCCTGGGTAACATGAGTGAAACTCCATCTCAAAAAAAAAAATAAATAAATAAAGAACATCAACATAATTAAGAACTTACATCAATGAATGGGCAAAACAGTCAGCTTACATTAAATATCAGTATCAAACTCACATATATTATTATTATAGACTAAATCCCCCAATCCAAAGGCACAGACAGGCAAAAAAAGCCAAGACCCATTGGTATGCTACATCTAGACCCATCTCACATGCAAGGATACACAAAGACTCAAAACAAAGGGATAAAGAAAGATTTACCAGCCGGGCGCGGTGGCTCACGCCTGTAATCCCAGCACTTTGGGAGGCCGAGGCGGGTGGATCACGAGGTCAAGAGATCGAGACCATCCTGGTCAACATGGTGAAACCCCGTCTCTACTAAAAATACAAAAAATTAGCTGAGCATGGTGGCGCATGCCTGTAATCCCAGCTACTCAGGAGGCCGAGGCAGGAGAATTGCCTGAACCAGGAGGCGGAGGTTGCAGTGAGCTGAGATTGTGCCATTGCACTCCAGCCTGGGTAACAAGAGCGAAACTCCGTCTCCAAAAAAAAAAAAAAAAAGAAAGATTTACCAACCAAACGGAGAGCAAAAATAAATAAATAAATAGAAAGCAGGAGTTGCAATTTTTGCTGATAAAATAGGCTTTAAAGCAACCAAGATCAAAAGAAGCAAAGAAGGATATTAAATAATGATAAAAGGATCAATGCAACAAGAAGAGCTAAAGATCCTAAATATATACGCACCCAATACAGGAATACCCAGATATATAAGACTTATAAAGAGACTTAGACTCCCACACAATAATAGTGGGAGACTTCAAGATCAATGAGACAGAAAGTTAACAACGATATCCAGGACTTGAACTCAGATCCGGAAGAAGTAGACTTAATTAACATTTATAGAACTCTCCACTTTATTTTATTTATTTATTTATTTTTTTTTTTTGAGACGGAGTTTCGCTCTTGTTACCCAGGCTGGAGTGCAATGGCGCGATCTCGGCTCACCGCAACCTCTGCCTCCTGGGTTCAGGCAATTCTCCTGCCTCAGCCTCCTGAGTAGCTGGGATTACAGGCATGCGCCACCATGCCCAGCTTATGTTTTGTATTTTTAGTAGAGACGGGGTTTCACTGTGTTGACCAGGATGGCCTCGATCTCTTGACCTCGTGATCCACCCGCCTCGGCCTCCCAAAGTGCTGGGATTACAGGCGTGAGCCACTGCACCCGGCCACAAATTATACACTCTTATCAGTACCACCTCACACCTATTTATAGGTTTAAATGAAATATTTGTTGGCTTGTTAGTTATTTTCTTCCCTCATTTTTTTTTCATGTCTCTATTATTAAACACAATTATAGGCATACCCATTTTTAGACTGCATTCTAGCCCGGGCAATAAAGCAACACCCCTGTTCTCTCTCCCTCTTCCTCTTCCTCTTTCTTCCTCTCCTTTATTCTTTTTTTTTATTCTTTCTCTTTCTTTCTCTCTTTCTTCTTCTAAAAAAAAAAAAAAGACTAACGCTTAATAGTAAGAAAACAGTGATTGTTCAGATCTGCATGGACCTCATTTCATACCTATAAGATTAGTATCAGCGTATGATTGAGAAACTAGCTTTTAATTTTGAATGCAATAGAAGCTTGGGAAAGTTAAACAACACTAGAAATCTAGATGCTTTACAGACTATCTAGATAAGGCTAACTAACCTATGATCTTATGATCTGGGCGAGATTGAGCAACAAAAAAAAAGCATACATTCTGGAAAGGTGTTTTGGTTTCAGTTTTTCTCTTATATGATATAGACCTTCTGCAGATAGTTCTTAATATGGCCAATACATGAAAGCAAAATGGTAATATATGGAAGAAAAATGACCAGAAGCTCCCCTCCAGAGAGTTTCTATAATACAGACATATTTTCTATCAATGATCTTCAATAGTAGAAGGACTTCATGGGTCAAAGCCTCTTGGAATTGAGGTAATTTTAATGGCAGAACTGAGCTGAGTGCTCAACGGAAAGATGGCCACAAAAAAAAAAAAAAAAACAGCAAAAAAACCCAATAGTGTGGAAATGCTGGCTCAAGGGCCTAACCTCATAGATGAAGTGGGGCTCCAGGCATAGGAGGAAGATTAACATCAACGGGTGGAAACTGCTGGGAGCTGAGTCCCACCTACCTATCAGACTGCCCCAAGGCTGTGGCTATGGTATGCTTCTCCTAGAAGGACGCCCTGATGCTCTCAGGTTTTTTGTTTTGTTTTGTTTTGTTTCGAGACAGAAGTCTAGTCTGTTGCCCAGGCTGGAGTGCAGTGGTGTGATCTTGGCTCACTGCAACCTCTGCCTCCCAGGTTCAATCGATTCCCCTGCCTCAGCCTCCCAAGTAGCTGGGATTACAGGTACTGGCTAATTTTTTGTATTTTTAGTAGAAATGAGGTTTCACCATATCGGTCAGTCTGTTTCTTGAACTCCTGACCTCAGGTGATTCATCTGCCTCAGCCTCCCAAAGTGCTGGGATTACAGGCGTGAGCCACCGTGCCTGGCCCAGATTTTCTTAAAAGAACTGAAATGACAGACTCCTGTCAGTGCAGCAGCTGAGCTGAAGGTTGTCACACAACTCCCTTATTCTCTCACTCCTTGGCTAGGAAAAGCAAGTGTTTGAATCACTTCATCTTTAGGATTATACTGCCAACACCCCTCTAATTTTCAGCCTGCTTGGGATCACAGAAACACATATTATAGCAAAATAGACTGTTTCATTGAGTCTAAAATATTATCATTATTATTATTATTATTTTGAGACAGAATCTTCCTGTGTCTCCCAGGCTGGAGTACAGTGGTAAAATCTTTGCTAACTGTGACCCCTGATTTCCAGGCTCCAGCAATCCTTCCACCACCTCAACCTCCCAAGTTGCTGGGACTACACATGTGCACAACCATGCCTGGCTAATTCTTGTATTTTTATTTTATTTTATTATTTTATTATATTGTATTTTATATTCCTCCACTCCCCTCCCCTCCCCTCCCAATATTTAGTCATCCTGGGCTGAAAGTAACTTTGGCATTGAATTTTAGTTAGAAGGTCATGTCCCAGCAGGAGAATGGGGCATTCAGGCGTATACAGAAAGCTGTGTTCTAGGTGGGCTTGTCCCAGTTTACATTTTTAGGGGTTGGAGAAACAGTTTCATCACGGTTTCTCCAGAGGCCCCAGTCACTTTTACAGTTTCTGAAGAGAGTTTGGGCAGCCAGGTGTTTATCACCAAATACTGAGCCCTGGTATCCACCAAAAAGTCCAAAAGTTGATGTCCCACTATTATCACGACCTGGGACTCCATGTCGGAAATCTGGAGGGTGTTGTTTGGGTCAGAAGGAACCACTGAGCCCCATCATTCCTGGTCTTTGATATGTTCAAGTTCAGAACTCTCAGCTATTCCGGGCATCTGGTGAATGGGGAGTGAGTTTCTCCTGCCATTAGTCATTTTAAGATATGGGCAGTTCAGGGCCGGACGTGGTGGCTCACGCCTGTAATCCAAGCACTTTGGAGGCCAAGGAGGGTGGATCACTTGAGGTCGGGAGTTCAAGACCAGTCTGACCAACATGGTGAAACCCTGTCTTAAAAAAATAATAATAAATAAAATAAAAATAAAAAAAGATATGGGCAGTTCAGCTACCTGGGAGGCTGAGGTGGGAGGATCGCTTGAGCCCAGGAGTTCTGGGCTGTAGTGCGCTATGCCAATTGGGTGTCCACACTAAGTTTGGCATCAATATGGTGACCTCCCAGGAGTGAAGGACCAGCAAGTTGCCTAAGAAGGGGTGGACTGGCCCAGGTGGGAAACCCAGCAGGTCAAAACTCCCATGCTGATCAGTAGAGGGAAGGTGCCTGTGAATAGCCACCGCCTGGGCAGTATAGAGAGACCCTGTCTCTAAAAAAAAAAAAAAAGGGCATTTTCTAGTGGCCTTCCTGCTTATAGTAAGTGCATTGGTTGAGGCCTACAGTAGAGTGTCCCCCTTTATAGGTCTGGGGCCCTGGGGCTCCCCTTCTACCCCCTCCCCACGCTTCCCTCTCCCCCTCCCCTTCCCTCTCCTCTTCTTTCATTTTGAGACACAGTATAAGTCTGTTGAGCAGGCTGGAGTGAAGAGGCATGATCTCAGCTCAAAGCAACCTCCGACTCCTGGGTTCAGATGGTTCTCCCACCTTAGCCTTCTGAGATTACAGGAGTAGTTGAGATTATAGACATGTGCCACCAGGCCTGGCTAATTTTTTCTATAAAAGATGTTTTTTTGTTTTTTTTTTTTCTGTAGAGATGGTGTTTCACTGTGTTAGCCAGGCTGGTCTCAAGCCTCCCAAGTCTCTGGGATTATAGGCATGCACCACCATGCCCAGCTAATTTTTGTATTTTCAGTAGAGATGGGGTTTCACCGTGTTGACCAGGATGGTCTTGATCGCTTGACCTTGTGATCCACCCGCCTCGGCCTCCCAAAGTGCTAGGATTATAGGCGTGAGCCACTGTACCCAGCCTAGTGTTTTTTTTTTTTGTTTTTTTTTTTTTTTGAGAGATGGGGTTTCTCCATGTTGCCCAGGTTGGTCTTTAAATCCTGTACTCAAGCAACTCACTCACTCATCTGTCTGCCGCAACCTCCCAAAGTGCTGGGGTTACAGGCATGAGCCACCACGCCCAGTTGGTCAATTTCTCTTCTTGCAGAAATGTTATTATACTATAAATGTTGGCCTATAATTTCTTTTTGTTTTTTTTTTGAGATGGAGTTTCACTCATGTTACCCAGGCTGGAGTGCAATGGCGCGATCTCGGTTCACTGCAACCTCCGCCTCCTGGGTTCAGGCAATTCTCCTGCCTCAGCCTCCTGAGTAGCTGGGATTACAGGCATGCGCCACCATGCCCAGCTGATTTTTTTTGTATTTTTAGTAGAGACGGGGTTTCACCATGTTGACCAGGATGGTCTCGATCTCTTGACCTCGTGATCCACCCCCCTCGGCCTCCCAAAGTGCTGAGATTACAGGTGTGAGCCACCGCGCCCGGCCCAATTTCTTTTTTTTCAATCAGAACACTTTCCAACTCAATATGGGTCAGTCTTCCTCCAAACATTGTTCTTCAAACTCATTCAATATGGGTGATTTTTACGCTAAAGACTATTGGCCAGTCGTGGTGGCACATGTCTGTAATCCCATCACTTTGGGAGGTTGAGGCAGGCAGACTGCTTGATCTCAGGAGTTCAAGACCAGCCTGGGCAATGTGGCAAACCCTGTCTCTACAAATAAATAAATAAATAAAATAAAAAAAGAAAAGCTGAATGTAGTGGTGAGCACCTGGCTGCAATGAGCCATGATAGCACCACTGAACTCCAGCCTTGGCAATAGAACCAGATCCTGTCTCAAGATTAAAAAAAAAAAAAAAAAGAAAGAAAAAGAAAAGAAAATAATTTTCACAATGTTACATTTCTTCAATTATAAAATGTTTAGAAACAAAGAGGCACTAATAGGTCCAGCTCAGCTCATGACTGTAATCCCAGCACTTTGGAAGGCCAAGGTGGGCAGTTCACCTGCGGTCAGGAGTTTGAGAGCAGCCTGGCCAACATGGTGAAATGTTGGCCTCTCTCTACTAAAAAAAAATACAAAAATTAGCTGGGCGTGGTGGCAGGTGCCTGTAATCCCAGCTAGTTGGGAGGCTAAGGGAGCAGAATCTCTTGAACGAGGAAGGCGGAGGTTGCGGTGAGCTGAAATCATGTCCCTGCACTCCAGCCTGGGTGACACAGGGAGACCCTGTTTCAAAAAAAAAAAAAAGAAAAGAAAAAGATCCTAATAATCCCAACAACCTCCGTCCTTCTGGGGTACTTTCTACGAGTCTTTCTGAGATGAACATATTTCTTTTTTTTTTTTTAGACAGGGTTTCGCCATGTTGGTCAGGCTGGTCTTGAACTCCTGACCTCAGGTGATCTGCCCGCCTTGGCCTCCAAAGTGCTTGGATTATAGGCTTGAGCCACCACGCCCGGCCAAGATGAACATATGTCAAAAGGAAAATTTAAAAGCCTAATTCTCCGTAAAAAATCCAATTGCCAAGAATAAGTACGTGCTTGGAATTTTATTCATCACTTTTTGCTGTTTATTTTTTTCCCTAGCTTCATCAGAATTATTCATCATGTTTATACCTTGTGGAAAAGTCAGAAAAATGTTCCTTCTTATTTGCCCTTCAGGTAGTTTATAGGTAGAAGATGTCTTTAGCATCACATGAACCAGGACTCAAATTCAGTTTCTACTACATACCAGCTGTGTGGCCTGGTGCAATTTTCTCACTAACTTTCCAGAGTGCAATTTCTTCCTATGTAAAAATGGGGATTTTGTAATATTTACCTCCAAGAAATTTAGGAGTTGTAATGATTAGAGATAAATAATTATAGACCAGGTGTAATGGTTCATGCATGTAATCCAAGCTCTTTGGGAGGTGAGAAGTTTGCTTAAGACCAGGAGTTCCGCGGGGTGCGGTGGCTCAAGCCTGTAATCCCAGCACTTTGGGAGGCCGAGGCGGGTGGATCACGAGGTCAAGAGATCGAGACCATCCTGGTCAACATGGTGAAACCCCGCCTCTACTAAAAATACAGAAAATTAGCTGGGCATGGTGGTGCGTGCCTGTAATCCCAGCTACTCAGGAAGCTGAGGCAGGAGAATTGCCTGAACCCAGGAGGCGGAGGTTGCGGTGAGCCGAGATCGCGCCATTGC